GGTGGGTGGCTGGTGGTAGTTTTTAAATTTTTTTTATTGGTACCTGGGATCGAACTCACGACCGCTTGCTTGCAAGGCAGGTGCTTATGCCGCTGAGCTAAATCCTCAGCCCCTGGCGTTGGGTTTTTGAGGTGTGGTTTGCTCCTTTGCCCAGGCTCTCTTGACACCTGAGCACAGGTAATCCTCCTGCCCCACCCTCCTGACCAAACCACTAGCCCCGGCTGGGTTTTTTTCCCCCTCTAGCTTGTTTTTCGTTCATTTTGTCTCTGGAGCTTTCTCCATGGAAGTGTTTTCCGTGTAAGTCTGTCCTCTCCTGGCTTTAGGGTTTGTACCTGCGGAAGGAGTCTGGGGTTGGGAGTGATGAGAGGTGTATCTGGGAATGAGGAAGGGCCTTGGGTGCTGCCAGCACTCAGTGTGGGAGCCTCCAGTTCCCACAGAGCACTTGGCAACCGTGTGAAGGGGAAGCACCTGGGTCCCCACAGGGCTGGCGAGGCAGGCGGCGCTTGGGTGGGTGGGGGCTCTGCGCCTGTAGCTGGGACCTCGCTCAGGACACCCTTGCCTTACCCCAGGAGGAGCTAGAGTTCTGTGAGAAGCTGCTGCAGACCTGCTTCTCCAGTCCCACGGATGACAGCATGGATCGGTGAAGCCAGGTGGCCTCTTGCATTCTCTGTGAAACCCCAGGCCTCCTGCCTTCTTCTCTGCCTCCATGCCCTCTCCCAAGGGATCACAGGGCCTTGCTCGGGCCTGGGCCTGGGGCGCCCACCCATCTCCGGGCACCCCCCTGGAGGGGACCCTGAGGATGGTGCTGGTTCCTGGGATCCCCTCCTGTGCTCTCACTCATCCCCCAACCTGTGTCTTAACTGTTCTCCCAATAAAGGTGTTTCTCTTCTTCCCTCCACTGCTACCTTTGTCACCTCCTCCAGAGGGTGCCTTGGGGAGGGTGAGGCATAGATTTACAGAGGTAATAAAAGTGTTCTCTTTATCATCCGCAAAGCTGTTGTCTCTTCCATCTCCAGACTCTTGAGAATGTGGGGAGCATCTGTTCTTTTTGACTACACAGCATCCCTAGCTTCTCAAAGTTTGATTGGGGGAATCCTCAGGTAGAAGCCGTTTTCTTTCCCAGCATCCCTTGCAGTGGGGCACCCATGTGACTTCAGCTCTGCTAATCAGCCCAGGGGTAAGTCTGGCTGGGGCTGCTGATGGAGGCCGCTGTACTTTGGGTGTGTCTGGCCAGACCGGGAGCCCACGCACCTGTCTTCGAGAGGGGGTGGGCACAAGTTCTGGCTTGCGTGCCACTCATGGTTACCATTGTGTTCCAAGAGCAGGCTGATGGTTGGGTATGGGCTTGATTCTGATTGCAGAGTGTCAGTCCTACTCTGAAACCCTCTGAGACTTGGGGGGCCTGACACATCCCCTTAATAAACTTTTTTTTTTTTGAGATGGCCTTGAAGTGGAGGATCATTCCACTAAAGCCTTCTGAGTGCTGGAATTACCATGCCTGGCTCAGTTCCTTTTTTTTTCCCCCCAAATCAGGGTCTTGCTATGTAATCCAGGCTGTTAATCCAGGCTGTCCTTGAATTCCAGGCAATATTCCTGCCTCAGCCTCCTGAGTGCTGGGATGACAGATATGTGTCACCATGTTCTTTCCCCACACTTTTTTTTTTTTTTTTTTTTTTGGTACTAGGGATCAAACAACCTTGCACTTGCCAGGCAGGCACTTATGCCACTAAGCTAAACCCCCAGCCCCAATTCCTTCCCTTTTTAAAGGCAGTTTTGTCACTTGTAACCAAGAATTCTGATAGACCCAGGGTTTATTTTGTTTTGAACCCAGGGCCATTGCACTGAGTTACCGCGTTGGCCTTTTCGAGACAAGTCTTGCTAAGTCTTTAAGCTGCCTGCCATAGTCTTATCCAGAGTAAGCCGAACTCATTGGTTAATCTCTGGCCAAGTCCAATCTCTGAGATTCAGCCCTGGGCTGGTCCAAAGCTGTGCTTCTCTCTCTGTACCCTGGGCTCCACCAGGGGTCAGGCATATCTCTCTTCTGTGGGTTCCCAACTCCTAGACACCTGGCATTTTTCAGTCCCAGATTCAGGGCCCACTGAGAAGCAGCTGTAGGATCTAAGACTTGAGATCAAATGCACTTTTATGAAGGTTAGCACTGGCAAAGAATGGTTTCAGCCTTACTGAGCAGAAACGATCATTCAGTCACCTGGGAAAGGCAGAGAGTTCAGGAAAGAGAATTAGAATTTCCTTTTAGTGGAAATATGCAGTGTGGGAAGAGTCTTCTCATGCTGCACGTTTTTGTTTCTGAGACAAGGTCTCACTATGTAGTTCAGGCTGGTTTTGAACTACAAAGTTCATCACAGCACTTAGGAGGCTGAGGCAGTAATACTGTCTGGAGTTCAGGAGGAGTCAGCCTCCTGAAGATACAGGCATGTGACCCTATGCCCAGCTCCACTTCCACTTTTTTTTGGTACAGGGATTGAACTCATGACCTGCTTGCCAGGCAGGTGTTTATGCTGCTGAGCTAAATCCCTGAGCTCTCCACCTGCACTTTTAAAAAGTTCCAATTTTAATTAGTGACAACAGCAGCATCTGTGTGATCTCTCAGGGTAGAGATGCACCTGTCAGCCATACCATATCCTAGGGAACTTTTCCTTCTCAGGTTCCATTTGATGGTTGAGGATGACCACCCTTCTGCCTCTCTGCTCCTGAGACTGGGTTCAGACAGTGTGGTAAGATGGGAGTGCTGGTGGTGCATGACTGTCATCCCAGCATTCTGAGAGGCTGAGGCAGGAAGATCACAAGTTCAAGCCCAGCCTAGGCAATTTAGACTTAGGGATACACTCAAATAAAAGGGGGGGGGGTATAGGATATAGCTCATCGGCATAAGTACCTGCCTAGCAAGTGCAAGGTCATGAATTCAATTCCCAGTACCCACCCCCCAAAAAGGTGGGGGATGTAGCTTAGTGGAAAGGCCTTGGTTCAATCTCCACTAACATCCAAATGAAACAAAAACCAGTGTGGCAGTAATGCTATCCTATAGTGTGGGACAACACAGAAAACCAAGTGCATAGAAGACAGATGGTCCCCAAATAAGCCATACATCACAGTGATGTTTAATTTTGGGTGTCCATACAATTGGCTAGCGATACCCGGAGGGTTCATAAAGTGCAATTTCTACACATGTCTGTGAGGGTGTTTTTGGAAGAGATTAGTATTTGATTAGTAAACCAAGTGAAGATGTGTCCTCATCCGTGTGGGTGGGCATCAGTGTGGGTGACCACAGAACAGGAAGGAGAGCAGACTTACTCTTTGGGGACCACCCATCTACCTTGGACCTCTGCACCCATTCTAGGGCCTCTGGGTCTCCGATTTGCTGCCCTTCAGGTGTGGCTGGACTGCATCACCGGCCTTACTGGGCCCTGTGGGCCTTCATAGTTCCAGATCATATAGACTGATTCCTCATAATCACTTTGTGTACCTTTGGGGATGTCCTGTTGGTTCTGTGTCTTCGGAGAAACCTCAAGCTGTAAATCATGTGAAGCCTGAGTCTTTGTGATGAGACCTCAAGATTATCAGGGAAGACAGGCAAACCCCGGCAGGGAGGTATGGACCCTGGCAAATTAGGCTGTGAAGTGAATGTTGCCGCCCTTCCACTCTGCCTCTGACCCCCATATTACTAGGTGTGGATCAGTGGCTGCAACTGGAATGGACAACGATTAGGGCTGCTAAAGAGAAGCTAAAAAAGAGGTGAAAGATAAACGCTAATCGGCGTCCTGAACTATGGAAGAAGCTGGGCAGGCTGGCGCACACTCATAATCCCAACACTCTGGCAGGCTGAGACAGTGGGATTCCAAGCTTGAGTCCAATGTGAGCCACTTAGCGAGTTAGGGAGACCCTATCTCAAAAGAAGGCTGGGCATCTAGCTCCGTGCAAAGGCCCAGAGTTCAATTCCCGGTATGGGGTAGGGTAGGGGTACAAATAACTAGAACAGTGTACTCAAACATGGGTCCACACAGGGTCCCTGAGATCTGCAGGTTAGGAAATCTCCGCGCACGCATTTACTCATCCAGTTCTCACCGCGTACCTCGGCACGGAGCAGCGAGGAGGCTGTGAAGGAAGGGCGGGAAAACAGGCTGGAACCCTGTGGGCTGAATAACAAGGTTCAGGAGAACCCTGTCAGTGACGCTGCTCGCGGAGTCTTTGCGCAGCAACTGGCGACAGCGACACACTGGCGCGCGGGGCGGGGGACTGAGATCACCCGAGGTAGGGCCGATGTGACCTCGCGACGGACCTGGGTGGAACCAAAGCTCCGCCGACAGGCGAGGCGAAAGCCGGGATGGGGTCTTGAGCTCGAACCCAGAGCACAAGCAGGAGGGGACTGTGGGAGCGAAAGCGCGACCCGAATCCCGCAGCCGGCAAGGAACTTCGGCTGAGGAAGTGCCTGAGTGGCGGAGCCTTGGGTGCGGCGGCGCCTGCGCACAGGTCCGTCTGGGTTTATTCAGGGAGACCGTTGGTACCAACGGCTGCCAGCATCTGGAGCCCGCGGCGTTGTGTTGGGGGGGTCGGGTGTTACCGGGCACCAGCGCGCACGCGCACTGCAGGGCTGCTGCGCGTCGCTGGCGGTGCACCTGCGCACCAAGACAGGCCTGGAGGGCGGAGCTTCCGCGTCCTCCCGCGCTCGGGGTATTGTGGGATAGTGGCGGAGCAAGCAGGGCGTCGGGCCCTGAGGCGGACTTCGGGGCCGCAGAGCCGGGTACTTCGGGGAAGGCAGCGGCTGAGGAGCGGGCCTTGGCCTCGGTCGGTCGCTACGCAGCTCTGCGTGCCGGGAGGGCTGAGGAGGCGGACGTTTTCCCGGCCGGTGGACGCCGCTCGGCTGGGGAACCCCGGGCAACTTCCTTGTCCCTGCCCGCGGAGGCGCCTGCGCGGCCTCGAGGTCGTTTCACCCCGCCGCGCCGGCGCACCCTCCCCACTTTCGCCGCTCCCCGGCCAGGCCACCGCCCGGCCCGGCCTGTGCCGCCCCGCCGCCCCCGCCCCACTGTCCGGGCCCGCGGAGGGGCCAAGCCGCCGGCGGCGGGGCGCGGGGGGGGGGCGCCCCGATGAGCCCCGAGTGCGAGGAACCGCCGCCCCCCCGCGCAGGTGAGCGGCGCACCCGCCGTCCGGGTTCCTCCCGCTCGGGCCCACTCCCTGCCCCCCAGGCTCCCTCGGTGCCCCGGCTTCCCCTCGAGTCTCTGCCTGGCCCCCATCTTTGTCGGGACCACAGTCTCTCCGGGTTCTCCAGCTCACATCCCCCGGTCGGAGCCCGCCGGGACTTCTGTCACTCCTCTTCTGGCCCCTCGCACCCTCCGTCTTCCTCCCTTTGAGGGCCTCGTCTTCAGCTCAAACCCCCCTCTCCTTGCCGGCCTGCGGCCGCATCGCTTACCTTCCCAGAGTGATGCGCTGCTGGGCAGAGCCGTAGCGGAGGGGCGGCCGGTCACAATCACTGCGCCGTGGGGAGCACCAGGGTGCGCCAAGGCGGGGAGACACTGGAAGACAGCCGGGCGGGTGGCTCCCTCTGTCTCAGAGGGATGAGTGGGATTGACAGATGGAGAGTGGGAAGGAAGGTCTTCCCGGTGGGAGGAACAGCACGTGCGAGGGCATGAAGGTGGGATCTGGGAGGGCCGCAGGTCGAGCCATGGAGTGCGGAAGTCTTGAGAAGGCGCGGGGGCGGGGGGGGGGGGGACGGGGACGGGACATCCAGGCGAGACTGGGCGCCTGTCAGGGCCTTGAGTGTGACCTCTGGTGTGACCTCTCTAACACACCTGTACGCCCTTACTGAGGATGCGGGCTTTCCCGTACTGCTGGACTGAGAGGCAGGACCTTTCTGGAAAGTAAGCTGTGTTGGTGTCAGATGTGGTGCTGGCCTCAGAGTTGTGAAAAAACTACAGTGGGCTGGCTTCCCACCTGGCGGTGAAGTTCTATTCTGGGTGGCTGTCCAGACCTGAGGTTACCTGAAGAACACATTCAAGTAGTTTGTACACACTTCCCGCGCGGCGGAATGCTTGCCCCCACTGCCGCATGGGTTATAGAGTGGAATGGTGGTTGGAGTTGGTTTGTACTGTTTAAAGTGCTGTGTTTGCTGGGCATGGTGGCGCACGCCTGTAATCCCAGCACTTAGAAAGCTGAGGCTGGAGAATTGTAGTGAGTTCGAGACCAGCCTGGGTTACAAAGTGAACTCAAGGCTGGGCTGAACTGTGTAGGGAGACCCTGTCTGTGTTTCAAAAGACCAGAAAAAAAAGCTGTGCTTTTTTTGGTTTTTTGTTTTCTTCTTTTGCAGTGCTGGGAATGGTACCCAGTCCTTGTACATGCTAGGCTGGTAATTTACCAGTGATTTACCACTGAGCCTTTACAGCCCTATCCCATGCCTTTTTTGTTTTTCATTTTGTTATGTTTGAATGTGTCCATTGTGTATCATTTTGCTTACATTCAGGAGCTAGGTTTGGGATTGTGATGATGAGGAAGCAGTGAGACTCTGGTTTGAGTGACTTAGGTTGTCAGAAAGACCCAGGTTTGAGTCCTGATTCTGTCTTTCCAAGTGGAGGGGCCTTGCACAAGATAGCAAGTGCTGCCTCTTTTGGCCTCCAAGTGGGAATGGCAGGAGTGCTGTCCATAGAGGGTGGTTCTGGGGGTGAGTGCAGTGTTTGTAGATTTCTATGGCAGAACAGGAGGCCTGTGTGTGTGTGTGTGTGTGTGTGTGTGAGTGTGAGAGAGAGAGAGAGAGAGACAGACAGACAGACAGACAGACAGACAGTAACTCTTAGGAGTACTGTTTGGTTTGGGGTGTCTACTGTGTTAGTTTTCAGCTGGGGCATTTCACAGCTGGGGAAGGGACACACTCAGTGTGCTCAGAGTGGACATGGCGACTGCCAACAAGGAATGTCAACTCGTGTCTTCAAATGCATGGGACAGTCCCCTCACTACAAGTACTACCTACCAGTCCCAAATGTCACATTGCTGTTGGAGGGACATTGTGCTTTATTGCTTGTTGCAGCTGGTGTTGGGTGGCCTGCTGTGTGTTTGGTTTTTCTTATCCATCCACTTTCTTTGCATCATGTAGCGTTATGAACCTGCTCATCTGCCCTTCCCTTTTTTTTCTCCCCTCAGGACGCATGGCCAAGTGACCTCCCCAGATCACCTTCCCCTACTGGCTTCAGTTTTCACTTATCCAACAAGTGCTTGAGCTCTGGGCCTGGCTGTATGCTAAATTCTGAGAAACTGGCATCATCCGGGGAGAGGCAGATGCCTGAACAGGCAGATCCTGTCACAGAGCTGAGGCTCAGACGCTGCCCTAAGGTGACTTAGGGGATGCTATGGGAGGACACGTGGAGGCTTCCTGGAGGACTGGGAGGAGGTGGTCGGATCCAGAGAGCTGTGGGAGGTTGGAGAGACAGTGTAGCTGAGGCCAAGGGCCATCAGGAGGGTGCAAGTCTGAGTGTGACTTGCAGCAGGACACGGGGCAGCCTAGGTGATCTGGTAAAACTGGGACGTCAGCCCAAGTTGCCTGGTTTGGGCTCCCTTCATATGCTGGCTGAGGGTTTTGTTCACGTACTAGGGAGTGCAGCTCTACAGTAACCCATCTGTGAGTTTTTCCAGATGAGAAGGCCTGAGCTCATTAGCAGTTAAGTTTTTGGTCTAGAGATTTCTGTTTGGAGAGGTAAGATTTGAACCCATCCTGTAATCTGGTACTCTGGGAGGTTGAGGCAGGAAAATTACAAAGTCAAGCCAAGTTTGGGCAACTTTATGACTGAGATTCTGTCTTCCAGTTAAAAAGTAAGCAAGTAAATGGAGAGTTAAGGCTGTAACTCAGTGGGAAGACCCTGGGCTTCACCCCCATATCAAGTTAAAAAAAGACTTGAGCCCAGGGCTGGACCTCAGATCACACTGATACTTTGCTCTCTGTTTTCCAAGGGGTATGTTTGCTGGTCTTTTCCTTTTTTTCCTCTAATCCTGTGACCAGTCCAGGTGGTGAATCCTATTGTGAGCCTTCCAGTCCCCTCCCCAGTGTGAACCTTCTAGTCCCCTCCCCAGTCCTTGGCCTGTGTCTTTGGGGTCTCTGGTTCCTAGTTACTTCATCCCCTGGATTTGGGCCAGAGCTGACACCCCACTTGGGAGAGTGATTTTGGGGTCAGCACAGGCACCTTGTGTGCTTTCTGACTGCTGGAGATCCATCGCCAGCCTGTTGGGCCTGTGTCCTTGGCTCAGCCCCCTCTTAGTAGCCTTGTCTCCCAGAAGTGTATGCTCAGCTCCTGGCCTGTCAGTGGCATCTGGTTTTGTAGCTGAGTGTGCTGGGCTCAGGGGTGGCAGAGTTGTTGGTGTACCACCCCCTTCTTAGAAAGGAATGCTTACCACCAGCGGCAGAGAGCTGGCCTGGTATTGGGAGAAGTTGATGGGACAAGGTTTTGCTGACTCTGAGCCACCCAGCCTTTAAGGATCTGGGTGGTTTGAGGCCTGCTGCTGGTAACTGGGTCTCCCTCTCAGGACTGCTGGCCAGCCTGAGGTGCTGAGCCTTGGGGTAGCTCGGCTGGCTGCCCCTGGAGGCTCTGCCAGGGTCCCTGTGCCTTCACTCCATTTCTTGGTGCTTGGAAGCCAGTGGATATTAAGAGGGTTGGCAAGTATAGCAGCAACCTATGAATTCCCTGGCAGGCAGAGCCGTGTTTGGAGGGACCGGACAGCAGTGGGAAGGGTCAGGGGAAGCCGTGGTACAGTTCCGTGGTGGCAGAAGGGCCTGGGCCGGGACTGGCAGCCCCTGAGGGGGCAGCTGGTGTCAAAGGTCTGGAACAATATACCAGAGCAAGAAAGTAGGGCTGGCAGGAGAGGCAGGGGTAGTATGCGTTTTTAATGGCTGTCTTTCTCACTTATAATTTCCCCTTCCTTTTGCAGCCAGAGTCATGGTTTTCAAAGTCTCTAAAAACCAGTGGCAGCCACTTCCGTTTTCTTGAAGTTGCTGAAAGTTGTAAGGGTGGGGGTGGCGAGGTGTGTGTGCCTGCCTGCATGTTTCAATGGTCTGAGGAAAAGTACCAGAGTCACTTGGGTGAACATCAGGCATCAGGCGTCTGCTGTTTGCTTTTTGAGTGCTGTTGGCCTAGGGCTAGGGACAGTCTGAAGGGCACTGCTGAATCGGAACCACCTGCCTTCACTCAGCTTTTTCACAGCTGAGGAAGGAGACTTGGGGGAGCCAGGTGCCCAGTCAGGTTCTTCAGCTCAGAGAGCAAGTGAAGGTGCAGCCTCCCTCTTGTGGGTGCCCAGGGTGCTTTGAGCTGCGGAGTTGAGTTGGGCACATAGGGCCACAGGACCAGGGTACAGTGCAGAAGGTGCAGAGCCCTAGCTCTGCCTCTGGGATCTGCATGCTGGTTCCTCTTCCAAGAGGAACTCTGTTGTCAAATGCGAGTACTCAGAATTTTTTTTTTTTTTTTTTTGTCTTTTTCCTTTTTATTGGTACTGGGGATCGAACCTATGACTGCCTGCTTGCAAGGCAGGCGCTTATGCTGCTGAGCCAAATCCCCAGCCCCAAGTATTCAGAATTCTTGCTCTTGTCCTGACGTGGAGGGGAGATGGGGTGCTGCAAGTATGGGTCCCTGGGCTTTCCACAGGCATGGGCCTAGTGTGTCTGTGACCTGTCCATGGCATGACATGGCTCTCCAAGCTGTGCATGGGCTGGGCTCTGTCTCAGGTATTGATAGTATGGGGCAGGAAGAGGTGACCTGTGTAAGCTCCCAGAGCTGAGCCTCCTGGGCCTCAGCCCTGCTAGCCCGGCTGGCGCCTTGGCAGCACTGGGGTGGCTGGGATGGAGTGCAGGGCCTGGGCCTGACCTCAGAATGGTGGCTGTGGGCAGCCTTTGTTTCTTTGGTAAGAGTTTTACTTAAGATACAATTCATGTGCCACAGAATTTATCCCTTTACAAAGTACACAGTTTACTGGTTTGTAGTATATTTACAACTTTCTGGAGCTGTTGCCACGTTCAATTTATTTATTCTTCTTTCGCACACTTTTTTTTTTTTTTTTAAAATCAGGGATAGAACTCATGACCTCATGCCAGGCAGGCGCTGTGCTGCTGAGCTGTATCCCCTGCCCCTCACACACTTTAGAGCATTAACAACAACAAAAATTCTTGTTTCTTGAGGCTGGGGGTTTAACTCAGTCGCGTAAGTGCCTGCCTGGCGTGAGTTTCATACCTGGTATTTAAAAAAAAAAAATTCTTGTGTCTCTTTAGAGAAGGGACTCTGAAAAGACTGGCTAGCAGTCTGTATAAATCTTTTGCTTTTCACGTTTAAAACAAAGAAAAGAAGAAAAAACCATCCTCATTAGCAGTCACTCTCTTGTTCTCCAAGTTCCTGAAAACTTCTGCTTTGTATCTGTGGATTTGCCTGCTGACAGGTCATACATGTGGGCCCACACAGCTGGGCCTCTGTGTGCCTGGCTCTGTCCTAGGCTAGGGCCACTGTCTGACTGCCGTCTGCTGTATAGGAGGAGGCTTGCATTAGCCACACTCAGCCATTTCTTGGTGCTTCCCGATGCCTGGGCTTCGGGTGGAAGTCAGCAGTCATGACTAATTTGGTGGTTGCCCCTTGAGATTACTCTGGTCCCAGGTACACTCAGGCCAGGAAACCCATCCCTGCCCCGTCCCCACTGTCAGAGTGCTTTGAGTTGGGTCACTGAGTCAGCTTGGCTGGAGCTCAGTTTTCTCATCTGTGACCTGGGTGCCTGGTCCTCATCACCAGGTGGGTTAAGGAAGTAAGGAAGGGTCCCGGAGGAGATCTGATGCCAGGCAGATCTGGGAGTTCTTTGTACAACACATGTGTTTCTTCCTTGTGCCAGTGCTGTGTCTGCCAGGGCCTGCCTTCCCCGGGGACAGGCTATCCCTGGGTGATCTCATACCTCCTTGCCCAGCCTCCTTCCTGTGACTGGGAGGGAACAGGCTACTGGGCTGGAAGGGGTTTCACTTGATTCTCAGACCCTAGAGAGCCAGAACCTTGTAACAGCATGGTTTGGAGATGAGTGTGTCCTCCAGCTCACACTTGGGTGCAGTTCATGCCCAGTTGGAGTTCTGTGCCTGGTGCTGCCTGCAGGCTCCCAGGGGAGCCTAGCAAGGAAGAATTTGGCGAAGTGCAGCCTTAAGTCCGTGTTAGATACTGGGGAGCAACAACCTGGCTGAGTGGTAGAGGAGCTCCAGACAGCAGGAAGTGTGGCTGTCCCTGTCACACCCCACAGAGCCACCACAAGGCGGTAGACAGGGACGGGAAGCTGCCCTGCAGAGCGCTGTGCAGCGGACCCAGAGGATGAGAAGAAGCCAGCATGGAGACAAGCACTGAGGGTGCCTGGGCTTTTATTGCTCTAGGAGGAGCAAGAAGGCCGATATGGCTGGTGCCAGTGTGAGCATGGCTAGGGTTGCTTTTAGGTGGTGCTGGGTGCAGGAGGATGTGGAGGGGCGTGGCTGGAGAGTGCATCAAGGTGTGGGTGGGCTCAGGAAGGACAGCAGTGCCTGAATGGTGCTGGTACCAGTTGGAGAATGGTAGGGTTTCTGGGGTGGGCAGGGGCAGGTCGTGATCTTTCAGCTGCACCGTGAGGTTCCTGAGCCCGTGGCCTTCTACCCTCCTCCCAGAAGGCATTGAAGAAGTGCTGGGTGCCAAGGGCCCTGAAGGCCAGGAAGGCCATCCTGGCAAGGAGCAGCCCCTTGGTGAGAGAGCTGGGTCAGAGGTGCTGGCTAGTGCCCCCGTCTCCTCTCCTCATCCATCTGCTCCAGAAGCCCTGTGCTGACATGATAACTACACCCATAGTTCACTTTGTGGGTGAGCCACTGCTACCAGTTGCGGACCCAGTTCTTCCTTGGGAGCAGTCATGTGAGAGGTGGTGGCTGAGAATCCCTCAGAATGGTGGTGTGTTGGAGGAGCTGTGTGCGGTGGTCCATTTTGTCATTGTGTCCCTTCACAAAGACCCTAAGGCTCTCTGTTGCCTACTTGGGCTTGGGGGCTACTGAAGGGGTGCTGGTACCACCTGGGCCTGGGGACTACTGAAGGAGACAGCCTGAGAGGGGAGAATGGGGTCTGGGAGCTGCTGGGGGGAAGGGGTTGACCCTAGCTTGGCTCTCATGGTGCAGGACATGGAGCTCTGGGGATGGTAGAAGCTTGGCCCTGCGCTCCGAAGAGGCCAGCAGGGCGTGGGAGCCTGGTGTGGGACTTGGGGGGATGTTGCTGTCTCTGAGAAGGGTGTGTGTAGGATGAGCCCTTGGGCTATGCCTGAGGTCTCAGTCAGGCCAGGGCATGGGCTGTGTGCTTCAGAGTGGTTACTGGAAAGGCAGCCTGGCATAGGGGCTGAGGGCTGAATCCCTGGTGCAGTGGATTAGGACCTGGGACCCTGGTAGAGGTGGCTCTCCAGGGAGCCCAAGGCTGCTTCCCTCCACTGCGTTGGGGGCTGGACAGTGGATCCCTTCATGGTTGTGGTTCCCAAAGTGAGGGCGCTGCCTGGAAATGAGATTGGAGCAGAGTCTGAGTGGTCCCCTTGGCATGGGCAGATGCAGGAGTGAGGGAGTCTCCCTGTGGTGTTGGTGCTGGCCTGGCGATGTGGGAATGGGAGGCAGCCAGGACCTCCTGGCCCACAGTGGGGCCACCTCTCGTACCTGGGGGTGGCAGTTGCTCTGGTCATAGGCCAGGGCCTGGGGGAAAAACCATGGAGGCTGTGCAGAGGGAAGGGTGGACCCGAAGGACAAGAGTGGGAAGGGTCCTCAGGGTGCTGAGAGAAGGGGACTTGCATTCGAAGACCCAGGAACAGATACCCCAGCCTCCTGGGGCAGTGATGGTCTCTGCCTCATGGGTGTGAGACCCTTGGGAGGCAGGTGAAGAGCAGAGACGGGGTCAGGGCCTTTCCTGTCTCTGGGGACAGGTGGCCGTGATGACTGCTCCAGTGGGGCTGTGCACAGGGCGTGGTGTTGAGCAGGCAGCCACGAGCACAGGTCAGGCCTGCTGTTGATGGGTTTAGAAGTCTTGTGAATCTGTCTCTGTCTCTGTCTTTTTGCCCAGACTGTCCTCAAACTCTGTGTGGCCCAATATGGCCTTGAACTAGCAGTCTCGTGCTGCAGCCTCCCGAGTGCTGGGGTCACAGGTGTGGCCACCAGGCCCAGGCAGGGTTGCTTGAGGAGGTGCAGCAGTGTGGCTGCAGCTCAGGGCAGCACTGTCCAGCCTCTGTCAGTGCTGTGCACGCAGCTCGCTGTGCTCTCCTCCAGGCCAACAGCGCTTTCCTGCCTCCTTTGGGTGCTGGCCTAAGGCTGTTCTGGGAGCCGCTCTAGCCTGGCTTGGGTTCGTGGCGCTGAGAGGGTGGTTGGGGTGTGTTTGTGTGTGTGGTGTCCAGGCAACGGCTGTGGCCTCAAGACACACAGACTTCCTCTCTTCCCCCTGCCGTTGCCTCACACCCACAGTGGCCATGGGTGACACGCTGGGCCAGGCAGCAGCTGTGCACTGGAGGTCATGGGGCATTTGAATTTGTTCAGCAAATACAAGTTGAAGTGAGTCTGAGGCCAGGAGTTCAGGCTGTGTCTCTGGAATGTCCCTGTCATTACGGGCCAGTAGACATAGGCTGGTGGGGATGGGGCTAAGGTCACTTTTCACAGTGGCTGGCCTCTCCTTTTGGACTCTGCATGGTTCATATCAAGGACTTCACCAGGCATGGGGCGAGGGCAGATGGGACAGTGACCCTGGATGAGGCCCTCAGGCGATGGCTTGAAGGCTGAGACGGTGGGGTGAAGGTCCTTGGAGCTTGGTGGGTGTGTCCAGCTTGTGTGACCTAGGCACCCCCACAGGGTACCTCGGAGTCGAGGGTGACATGTAAGATGCCCTGTGTTTGCAGGGCGCCATGTTTTGGAAGTTTGACCTACACACGAGCTCGCACCTGGACACGTTGCTGGAACGGGAGGACCTGAGCCTGCCTGAGCTGCTGGACGAGGAGGACGTGCTGCAGGAGTGCAAGGTCGTCAACCGCAAGCTGCTGGACTTCCTGCTGCAGCCACCGCACCTACAGGCCATGGTGGCCTGGGTCACCCAGGAGCCTCCAGCCAGTGGTGAGGAGCGGCTGCGCTACAAGTGAGTCCTTCACACTCCACACACTTGGGAGCTGAGACGGGGAGGATGGAGCCCTCCTGGAGTCCTGCAGGGCTGGATGCAGATCCCACTGTGCTCCAAATCTTGGTTCTGTAGAAAGCTCTGTTGGGCGGGGCTCTCCAGGCAAAACCTGGTGCAGCCCCTGCCAAGCTGAATCTCCCCAGTATCGTTTCACTTGTCAGTCGCCTCCCTACTTTTTTTCCTAGTGTGTTTTTTGTTTCTTTGGTTTGTCGTTTTTTCAGACGGGACTTCAGATTGACAGTCCTACCTCAGTCTGCTGTATACTCAGATTGCAGATGCGTACCGTCATACTGGTTTTTCCTTTTTTCCCAGCTGCAATCTTTGTCAGGGTGATTGTACAATCTAATACAGGTGTAGGAAACAGTAGATCCTGAGCCCTTGCTGCCCAGTCCCCTCCAGTAGTGACATTTTGCAGAATTACAGAAGGATGAAGTCCCTATTTTCTGTGACTCGCTTTTCAGAGGCTTCTGCATCCATGCTGTCACCACTGCTTATGGCCACACCCACCTTCCTTCCAGCTCGCCTCTGACTTTAGCAGTCATGTCCCCATTTGTACAGTGTTTTTTGTCTTTTGTTTTTTGGCCCTGGGAAATGAACTCAGTGTCACACATTCTAGGCAGATAGTCTCACCTCAGCCCTACTTGTATGATTCTGTCATTTGAACAGTGTTACAAAATGCATCTTGCAGTGGGGACCTTTAGGGAGTGGCTTTTTCCCAGTGTAATTCTCTGGAGACTAATTCCAGCCGCAGAGGGGAAGGCAGCTGTCTTTCTTCTTCGAGGCTCTGGCAGGGCGGCTCCTGGCCAGGTCCCATGCTCACCATGGGAGCCCTGTGGTGGCTGTGTCTCTCCTCTGTCATTCTCCATTACATTAGCTGCTGTGCAGCCTGCACTGTGCTTCTCAGGTGAGAGGAAGGGTGTGGTCTGGGCACTGGCCATGGCAGGTGGCTTGGGCCTGGCTCCCTGCCTCTGTCTGCCTGGAGGCTGGGAGTGTGGTGAGGCTCCCCTAGGCTCAGGTGCCCCCCCAAGCTTGTGGTCACGGGGGCGCTTCACTGCAGACTGCAGGCCAGCAGTGCTCCCATGCCTCCTGTTTGACAGAGGTCCTCCTACCTCCTGACCCTTTCTGTCCAGGGCGTAGGTCACACTTGTTCAGTGGCCTGGGGCTGGGCTCTGACAGTGTGGGCATCAAGGTGCCCTCTGTCTTTCCTTTACAGTAGTGGGATAGGAATGTGCTAGGTGAGCACCCCACCACTGAGCTTTAGTCTGGCCCTTTGCGTTTGAAGTGAGGCTTGCTAAGTTGCCCAGGGTAGCCTTGCACTTGGAATCCTCCACCCTCAGTCTTCCAGGTAGCTGGGATTACAAGTGTGCACTGCAACCTGGCTGCCCCCATCGGGCCCTGCCCTGCCCCTCCCCAAGGAGTCTACTTTGAAGGGAGGGGTAACTGTGGTGCCTTCGAGAGTTTGTGGTTTAAACCCAGAGCGGACTCTGTGGTCTCACAGGGCACCCTGGGCACAGAGGCTCTTGTCCTTGGGTTGCTGAACACCTTATGTTTGCAGAAAGGACGTGAGGTGGGGAGGTTTAGGAAAGTTGCCTTGGGGACAGGGAGCTTAGATGGTGACCCAGTGCATGGGGCAGACACTGGGAGAGACAACAGGGGAAGGGGTCAGGAAATTGAAACTAGAGACCAGGTGAGGTCAGATGTTTTAGTGTGCTAAGAAGTGCTTGAGGGTTCTTAGGGAGGCTGGGGAGGGCGCAGGAGAGGAGCGGGGCTGGGTAAACAGTCCTGTTCTCCGTGAGCCCCCTACCAGCACTGTCCTGCTAGGTACCCCAGTGTGGCCTGTGAGATCCTCACCTCAGATGTGCCCCAGATCAATGATGCCTTGGGTGCAGATGAGTCCCTCCTGAACCGGCTCTACGGCTTCCTGCAGAGCAGTGACAGCCTCAACCCACTGCTGGCCAGCTTCTTCAGCAAGGTCATGGGCATCCTCATCAACCGCAAGACAGAACAGGTGTGTGGCCTTCCCCGCCAGGAGTGGGCATGGAGCTGGGGCCCGGCCTGTGTATGACGTGACCCTCTGTCCCCAGCTCGTGTCTTTCCTGCGAAAGAAGGATGACTTTGTGGATCTGCTGCTGCGGCACATCGGCACCTCGGCCATCATGGACCTCCTGCTGCGCCTGCTCACCTGTGTGGAGCGGCCCCAGCTGCGGCAGGATGTCTTCACTGTGAGCTGGGCCTTCACCGGAGGGCTGGGTAGGTGGGCACGGGCTGGGCACTTGATAGAGCCCCTGCGTTTCTGTCCCCAGTGGCTCAATGAGGAGAAGATTGTCCAGCGGCTGATAGATCAGATCCACCCGTCGAAGGATGACAATGTGAGTGCCTCCCACTTCTGCAGCTGTTCCTTCCTCATTCTTTAGAAGATCGCGCTTGCCCTGGTTTCTGCCCCACACATGCGTTTGGATGCCCTGAGCCTGAATGTGCATGTTCATGACCTTCCTTACACGCTAAGCTGCTTGTGGCCTGCAAGCAGCCAGAAGTGTCACTCTGGTGAGCCTCTGCATACCTTGTATAAATGGAGCCAGCTGCTGCCTCGTCTGTGCCTGGTCTCTTCCCTTGGCATGACATTCCTCATTCCACCCTCAGACGGGAGATGTAGCTGAGAGGGAAAATGCTTACCTAAAGCCAGGGCTTGGTCCCAAGCTCCAGAGGGAAAAGGTTTACCCTCAGGTAGCAGGGGCAGTGGCTCATTACTTTCCCTGGCTCAGTAATACTCCCTAGTGTGGGCAGACTATGCTTTACCTTCCAGGCACTGGTTACGGGCACCTGGTGGTCGTGCACGTGTCATGTGTGTATGATGTCTCTTCTAAAAGCCTTCGGTGCCTCTGTGTGCTGTCCTGGCAACACATGTCCCTGCCTGTGTGGCTGCCCTTTTGTCTCTCTCCGGGGGATCCTGACGTGTCTCCTCCTCCCCAGCAACATTCCAATGCATCTCAGTCTCTGTGCGACATCATCCGCCTGAGCCGGGAGCAGATGATGCAAGGCCAGGACAGCCTGGAGCCGGACCAGTTGCTGGCCACTCTGGAGAAGTGGGTCTGCGGGCTGGCTGAAGGTGGGGGAGAAAGGGGAGGGGTGTCTGTGTTGGGAACCTGACCCCGGATTGCACTGCCTTGCCCCAGGCAGGAAACCATTGAGCAGCTGCTGAGCAACATGTTTGAGGGGGAGCTGAGCCAGTCTGTCCTTGTCAGCGGGATCCAGGTGCTGCTCACTCTGTTGGAGCCCCGGCGGCCCAGGTGAGGCTGTTGTTGGGGACAGCACCCATTTCCTGCCACTCAACTCCTGCCAGTCAGGGTGGCACTGAGACCCAGTCTCCTGTTGCCTTGAACATTGAGCACCCCTGCTGGAGGTTGGAGGATAGCAGGGGGACATTTGATGGCGTCAGATTCAGGGCCCACCCTCACCTCACACCTTACCTGCACTACTGGCTCTGCTCAAGATGAGTCCTGAGCACACCTGGCACTGGCTGCAGGCCCTGGGTTCACTGCTCTATCTGGGCTGCTGCAGGTCGGAGTCCATGACCATGAACAACTTCTTCAGCAGTGTGGATGGGCAGCTGGAGCTCCTGGCCCAGGGGGCCCTGGACAGCGCTGGGTCTAGCACAGGGGCCCTGCACGCCCTTCGCCCACGGCTTGCCCACTTCCACCAGCTCCTGCTTGAGCCTCTCCAGGTAGTAAGTAGTCCTGGGGGTTGCTGTTTCTGAGGGAGGTGGGGTGGCCGGGAAGGTGGCCTTTGAGAACTGAGCATGCCCTGTCCGCTGCAGCTGGAGCCACTGCAGATGACGTGGGGCAGCCTGGCCCCACCTCTGGGGAATACACGACTGCACGTGGTCAAGCTCCTGGCCAGTGCCTTGAGTGCCAATGATGCTTCCCTGACCCAGGAGCTCCTGGCACTGGACGTGCCCAACACCATGCTGGTATAGGGGTGTGGGACGCAGGGCTTGGGGAGCAGGCAGCAGGCGCTGTGTGTCTCTGGTGCCAGCCCATGCCCCTTCCCAGGATCTGTTCTTCCATTACGTCTTCAACAACTTCCTGCACGCACAAGTGGAGGTGTGCATGAGTGCCATGTTGAGCTTGGCCCCCCCGCCCAACAGCAGCTCTGAGACACCGGGCGGGAACCCTGTGCTGAAACACGTGAGCGCTGTCCCCTGCAGACCACCCCTTCCATCTGGCACTACTGCTGGCTCTGGGCTGGGGAGAAGGGCTGGGATGGTGGGGAGGAGGAGGCTGAGGGGCTGTGCTCTGTGTGAAGCTGGACCTGAGTGCAGCAGGCCCTATCCGGCCAGTCTCCGGTGCTTGCTGAGTGAGGGGCTGGCCTCGCTGCCCTGGTGTGCGGCCTGGCCGACCCTGCCTTGCCTCTACAGCTGCTGCAGCACTGCCGCCTGGTGGAGCGGATCCTCACATCCTGGGAGGAGAATGATCGTGTCCAGTGAGTGCCTGCTACCTTCGTGCTGGGGGGATCGATCCAGGAAGACAGATCTGGGCTGGGGCAGCCTTGGCATCCAGCCTGGTACCACCTGTGGCTTTGCTCTCACACAGGTCCGGGGGTGGCCCAAGGAAGGGCTACATGGGCCACTTGACCCGGGTGGCCAATGCCTTGGTGCAGAACTCGGAGCAGGGGCCAAATGCCGAGCAGCTGGGGCAGCTGCTGAAGGGTGAGGCACAGAGCAATGAGGGCTGGCAGGGTGGTCGGGTTGGGCGGGTACTTCACTCCTGTCTCCCCCTGCCCTCCCATGTGCAGAGCTGCCGGGGGAACAGCTGGAGCGGTGGGAAGTGTTTGTGTCGGGACCCTTGACTGAGACCAACAAGAGGAACACTGTGGACCTGGTGAGGCCTGCTGTCCCAGAGGGAGCCCTATCACCCTCGAGTAGCTACCTGCCTTGGCCTTACTGTGGCCTGCAGCTGGCCCTGACCCCTGTCTGTCCTGGTCCAGGTGAGCACCCATCACCTGCACTCCTCCAGCGATGACGAGGATGACCGGCTCAAGGAGTTCAACTTCCCCGAGGAGGCTGTGCTGCAGCAGGTGGGTGGGCCATGTTGGGGTGCATAAGGTGTGCGAGCCCTTCCTGCCCAGCTCCCTGCTAGCTCCACCTCTGCCTGCTGCAGGCCTTCATGGACTTCCAGATGCAGCGCATGACCTCGGCCTTCATCGACCACTTTGGCTTTAACGACGAGGAGTTTGGGGAGCAGGAAGAAAGCGTGAAGTGAGTGTCCCTGTGTGAGGGTAGTTACTGTTGCCCTGTGAGGACATCTCTGGGGCACAATTGAGTGTGGCCTTGGATGCTCACTGCCTGGGTTAGACTGAGCCCCAGCTCTGCAAACCCCTCATCCCATGGAAGGCCTTGAGGGTGGGCACAAGTGTCCCATTCTGTTCCAGGGACAGAGACTAGGTCTCGGCCTTGGGAAGGTGCAGACAGTGAAGGGTAGTGCCCAAAGAAGGGCAATGCCCAGGGAGTGTTTGTGAGTGAGCCTGGCATCACTGAGCCAAAAAGACATTGCCACCAGAGGCAGGCCATGGGGCCTGAAGCCAGACCAAAGGGGAACAGGGACACAGCCAGCAGCCAGAGTCTCTCAGGTGCCATCATATGGTTTTGTCTTTGTGCCCGTGACCAGTGCTCGAGTTGGGGCTGTTTACCTCAGGGAGGTTGAGGAGGATGGAGCTAGTCAGCAGGGGGTGGCATGGGACTGGGTGGGGCGTGGAGATGGGCTGCTGGCCACTGTGCCTCTACCCGGCCCCAGGCCTTGCACAGGGCTGGTCTCCAAGGCCTGCGTGTCTGGGACAAGGAATCCTTCAAGAGGGAAAGTGAGCAGTCTAGAACCCAGCCTGTGGGGGAACTGTGACTGCGTGGTGGCAGGTGTGCAGCCTTTGCCCAGCAGGCCCTGGCATGCAGGGGATGCCAGGCAGCTAGGAGGTGACGCCCTACACGATGCTGGCCATACCTTGGGCCTAGGTGTCAGCTCCTCTCTGTCTCTGACTTGGGGGTGATCCTGCCCCTGCCCTTGGGGGTGGTGCAACCCGAGTGGAGGATGCGACTGTCCTGTGTGTAGTGCAGTATCTGGTGCAAGTCTGGGATGGCAGGGTGACTCAGCTTCTGCTGGGAGGGGTGTCTGGGTCTTGTCTGCCCCCCCCAGGTGGCTGCAGGGCGCTGTGAGCATTGGGGCTGGGGAGGAGGAGAGCTTGCACATGGGTTTCCGCGTGCAAGGCTCAGCTATGTGCAGAGTGAGGGACGCGCTCACTGCACATGCACCCGCTCTCTTAGTGCACCTTTCGACAAGACGGCCAATATCACCTTCTCCCTCAATGCTGATGACGAAAACGTGAGTGCTGCTGTCCTCGTCCTGGTGGGTGGAGGGTCATGGGGACCGTAGCAGCACAGCCATCCTGCCACCCTGCACCTGCAGCCCAATGCCAACCTGCTGGAGATATGCTACAAGGACCGCATCCAGCAATTCGATGACGATGAGGAGGAAGAGGACGAGGAGGGCCATGGCTCTGGGGAATCGGATGGAGAGTACGGTGCCTGGCAGGGCAACCAACTGACCAGGGCAGCTCGCTCGGGCCAGCCCCCCGGGATCCGGTGAGTCCCCCAGCCTCTCCTCTGTAAGCTGCCCTGGCACAGGTAGGGGTTGTAGGGACTCTAGACTGAAGTGAGGGAGCAAACCAGAAAGGTGGATTGGTGTGTGTGTATACAGTGGGAAGCTCCAGCTCCCAGTTTTCAGTGATGGAAACCTGCAAAAGCAGAAGACAACCTGGGAAGTGGGGCTCCTCTGCCAGTGCTCCGCTGCTACTCTGCCAGGCACTCCTGTGGACTTCCCCACAGGCCATGGGCTTCCAGGGGAAGCATGTTGCCCTCCTTGAGGTGGGCTGTCATCAGCTTGTAAGAACATTGTTTTTGTTTTTCTGCTTCCTAGTGCCTGTGTGTAAAGGCATTCATGCTGTGTACATTTGCTGATTTGAGTACCTGCTTGTGGTTTGCAATGCAGACTGTTGCCTCCTGGTGCAGCACCCCAGCTCAGGAGTGCAAGTGTGCAGTGCTCATGGCGCCCTCTGCTGGCTGCTGTCCTGACACTGCCCTATGTAGTGCAGGCGGAGTGGTCCTGCAGTGCTTGGGACCTTCAAAGAAGGGATACTTGTCCTGTATCTCCTTTTGTGACCGTTTTGTCCACACCCACTCAGAGATCTGTCTCTTGGTTGGTGGCTGGACTTCACTTGTGTTACCTTGTGGCAGGTGCCCCATTCTGTGACTGGCCTGTGGCTTTCCTGGCTTTGTAGTGGACAGACTGGAGGGGTTCTTGGGTTGTATTCTGTGTTGGGCTCATCTTTACATGCTGTGTAAGTGGCAGCGTCACCCTTTGTGTGTGGGCAGTCAGCATGCTCAGTACCAGGTGTCCAAGATACTATCCCTTCAACAGTCTTGGCACCCTTCTGAAACATCCCTTGGTCACATGTGTGAGGGTTTCTTATTGCTCTGGCTCTGTTCTGCTAGGCTGTCTTATACCAGTATCACAGTATCTTTGTAGTAAGTTTTGAAGTTAGGAAATAATGAGCTGGACCCCTTGTTTTTCATTTCCAAGATTGTCTTGACTTGGGATTCCTGAATTTTATCGTTAGCCCATCAATATCAACAGCTACTGTTCTAGTACAAATGTGGGCAATGACTAGGGTGGGCAGTTTATGTAGTACTGCTGTTTTATAGCACATTTTCATTCCAGGTCCATGAGCATAGGGTGCACTTTGGTCTTTAATGCTTTTTTGCAGTGCTTTGATTTAGAGTGTAAGGTTTGCTTTTCTTGTAAATTTATTCCTAAGTAGTTTATTCTGTTTGATGTTATTCTAAATGGAACTGTTCTGAAATCATTCTGAGATTATCCCAAGTGTGTGGAAAAGTAGTAGCTTTTTTTTTGTATATTAAACTTGTTTCCAGCAACCTTCTAAACCCACATATTAATAGTTTTAGTGGCAGTCTTTGGTTTTTTTTTTATATACAGTGTCCTGTAGGTGGGGCAGAGTGGTGTATACCTATAAGCCCAGCTGAGGGGAAGCTGAAGTAGCATGATTGCAAGTTCAAGGCCAGCCTGGGTAGCAAAGACTCCATCTCAGGAAAAAAAAGGCAGAAGATCATGTCCTCTGTGCATAGATGATTTGACTTCTTCCCAGGGCAGGTGCTTGTGTTTCCTTTTCTTCTGTAAGTGCCCTGGCTGGAACCATAAGCGTCAAGAGCAGCAGGTCTTGACCTTGCGCTGCGTGATTGAAGTCTGCTTGTGGTCTGCAGTTGGGGCACATGCCAGTTCTGTGCAGGCTGAGGAGTCCCTTCTTTGTTCAGCTGTTGAACACTGCAGTTGTGCTGTGGACTGCATGCAAGTGGACTTCTTTCCAGTTCATTGTACCAGGTCGAAACGGCGTGTGGTAGTGTGGTCGGCCCCACCCCGTTTCTGGGTTTCACATCTGCCCATGTGGCTCGGAGAGGCTTGGGAAAAAGCCCCCTTGCTTTAAACCTGTGTGCAGGTTTTTCCTTGTGGTTATGCACTAAGGAACACAGTGTAACTACTCTTGACGTTGCATTTGCTGCTCTGAGTGGATGGTTGAGTGTTGGGGAGAAAGTACAGGTTCTATGCAGATCCTGCACTGTTTTATAGAAGGAATTTTGGTGTCCAAAGGATTCTGCTCCCTGCATTTCCTGTGTGTACTGAGGGTGATTGTTGGCTGAATTGTTCCCGTCAGTGGTGTGAGGGTTTTCTCCACCATCACGGGTTGTGTGTTACCATTCAGGTAGTCGAAGGTGTGGTGGTGCTCGCCTGTGATCTCAGCACTTGGAGACCTCATACAGGAGGATCACCTTGGCTTTAGCCCCCCGGGACTACATAATGAGGTCCCATCTCAAAAACCAAACACAGAAGTTCAGCTAGTGTTTCTGGAGCAGCTATGGTGCCAGTTGTTATTCTCATGGCCAAGAATGTGCGGGTGACAAAAATCATGTGTCTCTACTTCGTGGAGTTTGTACCTGGAGAAAGAGTAAATAAAGTAAACCCTTGGGTTCTGAGGATGGACCTGGGAGGAAGGCTGTGGGAGAGATGATGCTGGTGATGGGCACAAGTGACTCAGGGCTGGGGTCTGTCTGTCTGTGATCAAGTCCCTGCACATTCCTTGAGGGGCTGTCCTGCTGTGGAGACGGCAGTTAGTCTTACCACCTGGCCTCTCCCCACATACTCCCTTGCTCTTGGCCCCCGAGTCTGTCCCTGTCTCTTCGCACCACTGTCTCTTTGCCTGGCCCTGGGCTGTAGTGGGTCGGTGGCTGTCCCCGCTTGGATGCCTGACAAGGTGCTGTCTGGGGCAGGAGTGCAGGCAGCACCGACAGTGAGGATGAGGAGGACGAGGAGGAAGAGGAAGAGGAGGGCGGCGGCGCCTCTGGCCCTGGCCCTGGGCCTCCACCTCCTGGTGAGTGTGGATACTGGACAGGGCCTGGTGCCGGCCTGTCCTGTGCTCACCCTTTGTCCCCACACTGCTGCCCAGGCCCGAGCTGGACTGCCACCTTCTCACCTATGCCTGTGGATACTCTGCCAGGCACCTGTGACTCCAGGGCAGAGGAGCTGCTGCCCCCTGCTCAGCACCCATCCAGCCCTCAGACCCCGGATGCCCTGCAGCTCAGGTGGGATGGGTGGGGTGGGGTCCTAAGTTCTGGGCCTCTCAGGCTGGGGTGGTGACCTAGCCACACCTTTGGGTTCTCTTGTCACCCAGATCTCGGGAGCCTGTTCCCCCTTCAGCACCTCAGATGGCTGCAGATGGCAGCAAGCCACAAGGTGGCAGCAAAGCAGCAGAGCCCTCTGGTGAGCCCCATGCACCTGCCCGCCAAGGGCCATCCTTGGGTGATGGCACGGGTTGGCGGTTTGGGCGTCTAAGTTTGCAGGAAGCTGATGGCTGAGGTGCGGCCTGTCCCCCCTCTTCACAGCCCCCTGCCAGGCCCTGGTTAGTGTTGAGGCCCTCCAGACCACCCTGCATGGGATACGCTCTGCCCCCAGCTCAGTGGACAGGTGAGCTGTTGCTCCCTTCCGGGTTCCTGTTTGCCTTGGGATGCTGCCATCATGTGTGGAGTGCCCCATGGCCCCTGCCTGTAGGCCCTTTGTATAAGTGTGTCTGTGGGGTGGGAGTGTACAAGGCCCTGTGGCCGGAGGGCAGAGACTTGCAGAAGGGGACACCCGGCACTGTGGGCTGCGAGTGTCTCCTGCCCTGGGGATGGTTTCTGGAGTCAGACATGAGGGGCGTAGCTCACTGCTGGTACACACACACACCCCTGACCTGCTGCGTGGTCCTGTGTGCTCTGCCATCTGCATGTTCTTGGGTATCCATTTAGCTGCTCAGCATCTGCTCAGTCCCTGGAGCCCCTTTCTGGGCAGCTTGGGGTGGGATGGCCACAAGGCTTCTGCAGGTGGCAGGGGAGGGCAGCCAACGCTCAGCTACACTGCCCTTCCCCGCAGTGCAACCAGAGACCCCTCTACCTCTGTCCCAGCCTCTGGGGCCCCTCAGCCCCCCCAGACCAAGGAGGGGGAGAAGAGCCCAGAGCCCTTGCGGCTCCTCCCGAGCCAGAGGTAAGCAGTGGGTCAGTCTCAGGTGGGGGCCTGGAGGGGCAGAGAGTGACCGCTGGGTGCCCTCTCCCCTGACAGTGCCCAGGCCCTGGAGCCGCCTCTAATGCCCAATGGGTCAGCCCCAGTAGCACTCCTCTCCCCAGGCTCCCAGTGAGTGCGGCTGCAACCTGGGGCGGTGGTATCCAGGGTGCTGGGGCTGCTGGACTCTCACTGACCCTCTTCCGTTCCAGGTAGCCGCCCAGCGGTTGTGGTGGCTCAATCCTCTGTCCTCCCCATGGACTCTGGCGGGGCAGGGTCGGTCCCTTGTGGGTCCCTTGCTCCCAGCACCTGTCCCCACGTGCTCCTCTGGACTCCCAGAGGCTGTGCCAGGGAGAGGCCCCGCCCTGCCCCGTTTGCACTGAGAAGAGATTAGGAGCTTGCCTCCTGGAATAAAGAGTCACATGGAAAGAGGAGAGAGCCGCACGCTATGTGTCACGTGTACCGAGGGGGCTGTGTGGGCCAAAGCACAGCCTCTGGCTCTTCGGGAGGGCAGTACCGGTCCCAGGCTGCTGCCTTCCTGTCTTGCGCCCAGTCTTCTGCTCAGGTCCACCGCGGGTGGGCAATGGGGCCAGGGGCGGTACCCTCGCCCAAACCTGCACTCAGCTGGTGCCCAGCCCTGGGGAGCGGTGAGAGGGGCCCTCCAGCTCTCCTGGGCCTGGGGCTCCAGCCCTCCTGCCAAGTGGCCTTGTCCCAGCTCCCTCCCCCACAAAGGCGTGAGTGTGTGTGTGTTTGTGCCGAGCTTCTGTTTCATATTGCATATATAAATAAAGGAAGACAGTTTATGGTTCCCACTGGTCAGACCTTGTATTTGGACCCTCAGGTGGGGCAGCTCCCCTCTGAGCCTCAACCCTTGTGGCATGGGGGTTAGGTTCAGATGGGGCCGGGACTTCCACATGGAAGGGAGGTATTGACTCACACCCCCTTCTGCCTTTGCAGGCATGGGTTAGGATGCATCCTCTGCTCGCGCCCGGTGGCTGTGAATCTGGGGAATTTGGGAGCCCATGGCCTTCAGAGGCTTGGTTCCTGCCCAAGATGGGAGGCCGGAGTCCCTGCCTCATGGTGGGGCTGGGTGTCCAATGACCCCCCCATAACAGCCTGGGGGTAAGGCAAGTACCTGGCTCCCAGCGGGTTGGCACAGGCCTCCCTCGCCCAGGCAGAGTAGGGGCAGGAGTCCACCTGTGCCTGTCCTGTCCCAGCGACCCTGACTACCGGAGTAGTTCCATGCTGCCCTCTGGGAGGCGCCCTCATTGGCTTCCACTGTAGGCTAAGGAGTTGGCCAGGCTATGGTTTGCCAGGCAGGAGATCTGGAGGTTGAGGGACCCCTTGCTGCTGTGGGTACCTTGGGAGGGGATGGCAGGCAAGGCCATATCTGGGGCCTCTTATCAGCCCTAGAGTCCACAGGACACTCCAGGTTAATGTATAACGAGCCCTCTCCACCCGTAGTCCACCAGCTCTGCATGTTGGCCACCTGTTTTTGAGGCCAGCATGGACCCCAGGAAGGAGGGTATGCCCCTGAAGACGCTTTCCAGCCAAGTGAGCCTGTGGGGCTGGGGCTCAGCACTTGGGAAACCAGGCAGCCTGGGGTTCTGGAGTCCCAGTGCTCCCAGAAGTGGGCCCTGTGGGGCTGAGATCCTGCCCCTTGTAGATAGGTCACCTAGGAGGCTGAAGGTCCTGTCCCTGTCCCTGACAGGGCCCTGCCTGCACAGCTTAGGTCGAAGTGGCAGGGAGGGTGGGAGCCAGAGCTTGGGTCAGCAGGGTGCTTAGGGTGGGGCTGTCCCTGGTGCTCAGCACCCTTTTCTGTAGCCCCCAGGGGCTGGCAGGTGGCTGAGCCCCTTCCTGCTCACCTGCTCCGTCTACTTCCTCTGGGTGCCTGATCCCCAGCCATCCTGGCCCGAGGCCCTGCTCAAGTGCCTGCCTGTGCTCTGCCTGGTGCTGTTCCTGGGGACTGTGCCCTCTTCCGGGGTCTGCACCCAGCTCTTGCAGGGTGCCCTCTTGTGCTCGGCTATGGGGGATGCCTGCCTTGTGTGGCCTGAGACCTTCCTGCACGGTGAGTGGGGACCCAAGTGTGGGGCCCTGGAGGAGGAGGAGGGGGAAGGCCAAGGGAGGGTGCAGTCAGGGTGCCCAGTGCACGCATGTTCGGGTGACAGCAGGTGGGTAGCTCTTGGGCTGAGGGTATGACTACATAGGAAGAGTGGCAGGTGCAGGCCAGTCTCGACCCTCCTTCCCACAGGTGTGGCTGCCTTCGCCACCGCCCACCTTCTCTACCTGCGGGTCTTTGGCCTCTCTCCTCTGCGGCCCGGCCTGCTGCTGCTCGTGATCCTGGCCACTGCAACCTACCTCAGCCTCTTGCTGCCACACCTGCAGCACGCCGTGGCTGGCCCTGTGGTGGTCTATGCGCTACTCCTGGCTGCCATGCTGTGGCGTGGCCTGGCTCACGGTGGGAGTGCTGGCCGCGGTGCGCTGCTCTTCACAATGTCTGACGCGGTGCTGGCCTGGGACAGCTTTGTGTGGCCCCTGCCTCATGGCCGCCTGGTGACCATGATCACTTACTACGCAGCGCAGGCTCTCTTTACCCTGTCTGTGCTTAGGAGCCCCAGGAACAAGGCCGACTGAGACTGACCAGCTGGCCAGGTCCCCTCTCCCCACTGCAATAGCGCACCCCACCCAGGCTACTTCCCCAAACCCCTGCCCTCATCAGTCTGCTTGCTTGAGCTAAGTAAAGTGGCTGTGGAGACATCAGTGCTGCCAGTGTTTTGGGAGGGGACCAGGGAAGGAGCTGGTCCCCTGAGCTACCTGATACCTTCGGGGCCTGACAACCTCTATCCAGTGGACAGGTGTACAGCATTGAAGACCAGAAAGATGTTTTTGCTTATTTTCTGAGACAAGGTCTCACTAAGTTGCTCAGGCTGGCCTCTGATTTGCTGTCCTGCCTCGACTTCCTGGGAGCAGGGATGAGCAGGCTTCCCGTTCTCTGCCTGCACTTGAGCTGGCAGGCAGGAAACAAAAGAGTGTGGGCAAGGAAGATGTCACGCAGAGCTGACTGTGGCTCGCAGACCTAGGGGGAGGCCGGTGCTGTGGGTGAGAGCTGCCTGCCAGGGCCCACACAGTGGATGGGGAACCATTGTTTTGAAGAGGGCAGAGGGCTGAAATTCTGGGTCTGAGGGTGGAGGCCCTGGGCCTGGGGAAGGGAAGAGGCCGGGCATGGACCCCGGTCCAGGGAAGGTGGAGGCCAGGCATGGATCCTGGGTCTGAGGTGGAGGGTGTTATGGACATGGTCTACCCGCCCACGGCCCTGCAGAGCCCCCAGCTGCCCTCCTCGGAGCCCTGGATTGCCGGGCATCTTCCCCTCAGCGGCCTTTCCAACATAGGTGCCACACACTGGTCCCACCAGCAGACCCGTCAGCACTGAGGACAGCGCTGAGCCGGGTGTCTGATTGGTCCCGGGTTAACGCTAGCTGCTTTCTAGACGGCTGCCCAAAAGCCCCTTCCTTGCTGCCCGCTGTGACCCCAACGCTCAGCCTGCCTTCCTCCCCGGCCCAGGAGCACTGAGCTGGCGAGACCACAAGGCCTCGTCCTTAGGGAGCCCGTCCTGCCTCCGTCCTTCCCCTGCCTGTCTGTCCAGGTGCAACCTCCGGAAGCTGGGAAAGACCGCACTCCAAGCACAGCGCGCTCCACCAGGGGGCACCCTCTCCCAGCCCTTTCAGAGTCCTCTGCAGTTTTTCTTTTTCTTGGGCTGGGGATTGAACCCAGGGCCTTCTCCGTGAGCCAAGTCCTCAGCTCCTTTTTATATTTTATGCTGGGGCAGGGTCTCACTAACTGGCTGGGTTTCCCAGCTAAGTTCAAACTTGTGATTCTCCTGCTTCAGCCTCCCTGAGTCCTGGGAACGCAGTGTGCACCACACTGGGCTTCAGGTTATTTTGTGCTCCAGTTAGGCTCACGGGCTGCTAGTCTCTTGCTTTCCCCCCTTGCATTGACTACTTGGAGTAGGCAGAGTAGCCAGGGACTTCCATTTGTCCTTGACACCATCAGGATCCTTCCACTGAAGATCAGGGAATCACCTCTGGCGTGGTTTCCCTCTGTACACTTGGTGTGGGAAGCGAGACGCATGCAGGGTTCTTTTCTGAAATTCTCTGTGGTACTGGGGATGGACTCAAGGCCTTCACACCATGTTCCATCTTACCCTTTGTGAGTTAACCAGGCTGGCCTGGAACTTGCGGCCCTTCTAACCAGTCTCCCAGAGTGCCCAGCTCAACCCACAAGGTGACAGGCTCGACTGTCCCAGAGGACCAGGGCACAGGGACCTGTGTCCCCAAAGATGACTCCATTATATGGATCAGAGCCATGGTTAGCAAACCCACATTCTCCTCTCCTAATCCCGTTACCCTGGAAATTGACCGCTAGGACAGACTCAGGATGGGAGGTCCAGGCTTAGGCTGTTCTCTGGTGCAGCTGCATGGTGGCTGCCCGATGCACCATGCAGAACCCCTCCTTGGGCACAGAGCACTCAACTGGGCTCCCAGGGTGCTGGCTGCTCAGAGATGCCTGATCAGAGAATTGCTGGTGGCCAACCTGAAAAATGTCCCAGCAGGAAGGCCCAGGAACACACCCTGGGGGAGCCAGGGACAGAGATCTGTGACACAATGGTCATGTCCTTGCTTTGCTCCTCCTCCTGGCCCATGGCACTGCCCCAGGCTGTTTCTCATAAATGCAACCCACACCAGCCCTCCTCCCCCGCCCCAGTGTCGGAACCGTCTGAGCCTCTGCTCTCAGGCACTGAGGGTCTGTTATGGTCACTGACATTTGGTCTTTGCCCACAGGCTAGAGGAGCTGTCTTTCCATGCTTCTGAGAGCAGGTGACAGGGAGGTGACTTGGGGGTTGTGCCAGCCTGGGCTCCCACCAGTGTGTGGTCTAGGCTGGCCTTGATCTTGTGATCCTCCTGCCTCAGCTTCCTGAATGCTAGGATTACAGGGGTGTACCCCCATACTCAGTCTAAATCTTAATTTGTACAGATGGGAAAAGTGAGGCCCCAAGGCTGGGCGTAATAGCTGAGGTATTGCTGAGGTAGGGAGATCCCTGTGAATTCAAGGTCGGTTTGGGCTATATAGTGAGGACTTGTTTTAAAAATGTGTGTCATTCTGGGTTGGGGATTTAGCTCAATGGCATGAGTTTGATCCCTGGTACCAAAAAAAAAAAAAAAAAAAAATGTCTACTATTCCATTGAAGATGTTCAGGGACGCCCCGGGGTGAAGTGTGCAAGGACCAGGGAACCCACACCCCAGGGTGTGTGCCAGAGGAGCAGGGGAAGTGGAGCCCAGCCCTGGGGTCACAGCCCCAGGGACTGTGCTTCCTCTCATGACTCAGGGACTGTGCTAAAGGTCCCACAGCCCTGAGCGCAGTCAGTGTATTTCCTCTCCGTCTCGGGGTTTCTGGGGTGGGGTGGACATCTAGAAGGCAGCAGTGGGTGCCTGCCTGTGGGTTCACTTCCTGCAAGATGGCCCGAAAGGCTTACTTCCTCTCTGCACTCTCCCTCCTGGCAAAGGAGAGCACTCAAATCGCCAGCAACACCTCTGCTGGGAGGGATACGCCAGGCATAGGGGCGCCCTGCCATGGGTGCATCCCCTAGGGCTCCCAGCAGTAGAACCTCAGGGGTGAGGCATGTGTGTTACTGCTGAAGCTGCCCTGTGTGCAGCCACAGACAACAGTTTCTGAGTACATGGTCCTCAGCGTGGCTCCGGCTGAGCTTCGTAGCTGGTACTTCCTCTCTTCTTTTGATCTTTATTAATAATGTAATAATCTCATAGCCAGAGTTATTGCTCATCAATTGGGAAAATATTTCTGGGACGCTCAAACACAGAAGCGCAGGACTCCAGAGACACACCTGGTCTTCCACCAACACCACTGAGCTGACCTCTGGGCCACCCCTTTGTCCACCCCAGGGGTTCTGCAGTACCCACGGCTCTGGAGCCAGCAAAAGTGGGTCACTTCTTTGTTTCTTAGGTCAACAGTGCTTGAAATTTACTTTAAGAACCAGGAGATGAGCAGGCACAGCAGTACAGACCTAGCAGTCTGCAAGGATGAGGGGGGACAATTACCATCTGGAGCCCAGCCAAGCAAGATCCAGTCCCAGAAATTTACTGAAAGTGCTCAGTGTGAAGGCCTTGGGCTCTGAGCTCAGTTCCACACCAGACCAAAGCAAAGGAGCTGAAAACCGAAGCCAGGAGACCAACTGGGGCCAGGTGCCTGGCTCACAGGCAGGTGGTCAGGATATCTGCAGAGGACCCTGAGTCGTCATGGGAGGCCCTCTGAATGGTGGAACTGCTGCCGAGGCTCCTGCAGACTCACACAGGCTAGGCCTTGCACTGCACTGCGGCTGTGTCATCCCTCACTGCCTTTTCCAGGGGTTGTCACCCTGCTTTCCAGAAGACTCAGCTGGGTCACCCTGAGTTTGAGTTGCCTGGGGTCACAATGGTGGCCAAGTGGCTATATAAATACAAACACAGGAGTGAGGGTAAGGGATCAGCCCAGGGTGCGTGACATTGGAGCCCAGTCCTGAAGGAGGAGGAGGCTGTGGGGTGCAAGGCAGGCGCACCTGGTGGGGAGACGGTACACGCAGAGGCCTGAAGATAGCAGGCCTCCTGTCTATGACCGCCCTAGACCTGCTGCAGACAGGAGCCCACTGATGCCAGGCTGGTCTCCTCCCTGTGGGCCTAGAATGCAGAGGGCCCCCAGGCTGTCACCAGCTGTCCCCACTCTGTGCCTCAGAGTCATGTGGCCATTGGCACAGCAGCCCTGAGTATCTCCAGGATTCACTAGGAAGCAGAGTGAGCTGGGGCTGAGGCCTCTAGGTGGGCCCAGGAGACCAGAGGGCTGGGCGGTGTCGGGCAGAAGCGGAGGTGAGGAAGAAGTGCAAGGGACAGGGCAGGGACGCAGCAGCTCTCACGCTGGACCTGCACTTCCTCCTCCTCCCCTTCCTGCCTGGGCTTGGGTCACACAGATGGACTAGCAAGGGGAAATTCTTGAGTATAAAGTCCAGCAGGTGGAAGGACCAGGCTGGGACTCCTGTGTTCCTCACTGGAACAGAACGTATGGCTCAAGCTACCATGGGTGTCGGGATCTGGGGGAGCCTGGTGCTACTGGTGAGTCCTCCCCTGCCCCGGGGCATCTGGGCCCCAGGGAGTGGGGGCTGGGGCTTAGACTCCACTGTCAGAGGATGAGGGATGGGGCTCCCTGACCGACCCGGAGGGAGGAGGGGTTGGTTATGCCCTGGAGATGACAAGGGTATCTTAGTTTGAGAAGACTAGAGAGTCCATACCCAGACTTAGCACAATGACACAGTAGGACGGGAACAGTCCTTCAGACAAGACATAGACCCATTATTAGTGCCTTCTCCCCTGGAGGAAGTCTGGTCCCAGCCTCCTCCCTCAGACCAGGGATCCAGGCTTAGTATCCTGGTCTAGGCCCAGGGTCCTCCCTCAGATTTAGGGTCCAAACCTCCTCCCTCAGGCCCAGGGTCCTGACTTCCTCCCTCAGATGGGGGGCCATGGCCTCCTCCCTCAGACCAGGGATCCAGGCTTAGTATCCTCCCTTATACCCATGGGTCCAGGCCCAGGGTCCTCCCTCAGACACGGGGTTCAGGCTTCCTCCCTTACACCTAGGGGTCCAGGCCTGGCCCTTCTTTCTGATCCTGATATCAGGATCCAGCCTCCAGTTTCATTTTCCTTCTATCTACTGATTTTTATGACTTCCCTACCCCCAGCAATGCAAGCCTGTAGTTTTAAAAATTTGAAACCATTTATCTAGGCCTTATCAGTAGAGACAATGTCAGCTTCAGTGTCCCTGAAACCCCACCCCTACCCTACTTAACCTTGTTCCTTGCTGGAAGAACGCGGATACAGGGGTGACCTTTATCACGGCTCAGCCCTGAGCTACTCTAGCCCAGGGTGGCTGTCAGGCAGGGTTAGCAATGTCCTGGGCAGCACCACCAGTCTCTAACAACTTGCCTGGTTCTTTCCAGGGTCTGTGCAGCTGGACAGTGGGCAGGGCAGCTGGTGAGTGACCCCTAGGACTGTGGGCCTCACACCCTGGAACCTCTAGCTTCTCCATGAAGGCCTCTCCATCCAGGACAGGGGAGTGGGGCAGGGTACACTTGGCGTGGTGACCAGGGAGGGCTGGGAGGGAGAAGAATGGTGAGTGCTGATGATGGGGACCCTCATCCCAACCCCCAAGGAGCAAGGAGCCTGCCAGTGGATGCTCAGAACAGCAGCTCCATCAGCCTGCCCTGGGAGTGGCTTGTGGACTCTGACTCCCAGAACCTCACCTACTTGATCCAGTGGACTGGAGACGGCAACTCAAGTGAGACCCTGAGGACCACAGACACCAATGTCACTGTGGAGGGACTGCGTCCTGGGACTTCACATGTGTTTTCTGTAGGAGGGGGGGAAGACAGAGTCAACAGAGAGACTGTCAGTGCTACTACAGGTGAGGGCAGCCAGTATTTTAGGAGAGTGTGATTTAATTTCTATGCAGGTACGAATTTCTTTTGGTTTCTTTTGCCATTGACTTCCAATTTCTTGCACTATGGTATGATAATATGCACAGAATAATTTCAACTCCTTTGATTAAGCATGTTCTATGAGCTAGTATGAGCTAGTCTATTTTGAAAAACATCCTATTTGCAGGTGAGAATACTTACCCTGTTGCTGAGGGTGGAACACTGTGTAGACATCTACATTGCCCATTTATTCAAAAATTGAGTTTAGTTCTAATATTTCATTGTTGATTTTGTGTCACTTGATCTGTCTGTTTGTGACTGCAGGGTATTGAAATCCCCAATACAACTGGATTAGTGCTTTTTTGATTTTTCATGTCCTTTAATATTGGTTTTATTTAGTTGAGTGCACTGGCATTTGCTGCATATGTATTTCTGATTGCCCTCTCTCCCTTTTGGATTGTTCCCTTTCCCAGCTGTAGTAACTTTCTTTGTCTCTTTTAATCTTGGCTTGAAATCCACTTTGTCTGCAAATAGAGAAGCTACCTTGCCTTTTCAGGTTCCTGTCACATGGAGGGTTGTTCTCCATCCTTAGACTTTCAGTCTGTGAATTTCCTTAGAGTTCAGTGTGTTTCTTGTATGCAGCATGTTGCTGAATCTTGCTTCTGGATGCATTCTGCCAGTCTGTTTCTTTTGATTGGTGAATTGAGGCCATTCACCTGGATGATTATAACTGACGTGTATTGATTTATGCTTGTCTTGCGATTTTCCTGTTTGTGGCTGCCTTGCCTCTCCCACCTCCTATAAAATTGTTTGCCTGGCTTGGTGAATTCCTTCTCTTGGGGATGCTTGGAGCTGTACTCCTAGTTAACCCTTTCTAGCATGTCCTTCAGAACATTTTGCATTGCTGGTTTGGTGCTCATAAATTTCTTCAGGTGGTCTTTGTCATAGAAGGTGTCTTATTTCTCCATCAATTTTGAAACAGTTTTATAGGGCACATCAGTGTGGGTTGGAGGCTGTTTTCTTTTTTTTTTTTTTTTTTTTGGTGCCAGGGATCAAACTCATGACCTCGCGCTTGCCAGGCAGGCACTTAACGGAAGCTGTTTTTTTTTTTTTTTTTTTTTTTTTGTCTTTTTGAGACAGGGTCTCCCTGTGCAGTTCAGGCTGGCCTTGAGCTCACTTTGTAGTTCAGGCTGGTCTCAAACTCACAACGATCCTCCTGCCTCAGCCTCCCGAGTGCTGGGATTACAGGCATAAGCCACCAAGCCCGGCTTGGGGCTCGGAGGCTGTTTTCTTGTAGGACTTGAAATACTTGACTCTAAAATCTCCTTGACTTGAGAGTTTGTGTGAAGAAGTCAGCTGTGATTCTAATGGGCTTTTCTTTATAGATGACTGATTGATTGATTTCCTCTGGTAGCTTTGAGTATTCTGTTCTTGTGTTGAATTTCTGGAATCTTGATCATGATGTGCCTTGTTACACATTTTTTTTTAATCATGGGTAATTTGAGTGATATATGCCTCACTTATTTGGGTGTCAAATTCTTTTTTCCCTGCTAGGGAAGTTTTCTGCTATTCAGCCTGTGAACAGATTTTTGTATCATCCATAATACCTCCTGCTTTTTCATTGACTCCAATCAATTCTTTTCTTTTTTCTTTTTTGTTGCTAGGAATTGAACTCATGACCTCATGCTTGCCAGATGGTTGCTTCTGCCACTGAGCTGTATCTCCGTCTTCCCAATCAATTCTTTGCATTACCTAGCAGCTGCTGGACTGATTTCACATAGTCCTTTGCAATTCTTAAGAGGTTTTTTTCATGATCATTAAATGAAGCGTGTCTTTTGTATGTGAGATTCTGTCCTCACATTGGCCCATTCAGCTACAGATACTTTTGGTGTATAAGTTTTTAGTCTTTTGGATATATGATCAAACTCATTTTAGGGATTGTGTTTGTTTCCTATGTGGCACAGTCATGATATCCATCATTTTCTTAAATTCCATGTTTTGTCTATATCTGCTCTGGAGTTACTAAGTATGCTTTTTACTCCGGTCACCATCTCTGTAGTTATGTGGGAAATTATTTCTGAATTGACTTTTCCTAGAGCTTCACTCATTTGCTTTGTTTTATGAGTTCAGAGAGGCCAGGTGGGTGAAAGCTTTCAGTTGTCCCACCTCTTTGTCCCCTGGGTTTGTCTTTGGTGCACTGGATGACTGGGGTTGCATTTTCTGTAAGCATTTTTCTCACTTTCTGTTTTGTTCTTTTTAATTTTTTTATTTTTTGGTGCCAGGGATCAAACTCATGACCTCGTACTTGCCAGGCAGGCACTTAAGCCACTGAGCTAAATCCCCGAGAGATAACAGCCCCACTGTTTTGTTTTTTTAAGAGTCACAAAATGTATTGGGGAGGAAGAATTAGAATAGGAGGAGTTCCTGAGAGAGGAGGAGGAGGGGTCCTGAATAGATTTTCTTATTTTTTGAATTCTTAGGTTGATGTTTTTCAATTGCATATAGTGTGTAGTTTTATTGGTAGTATTTAGAATCCTTAGAAAATGACTATTTCTCAGAATCATCTTCCATATATAGCTCTTTTTTGGATTTTGGAGTCTGTTGCAGGATTCTACCCACTCCCTTTATTTGGGACGAGAAATTTCTGCCTGTTTGGCCCAAGCCCTGGTTCTTTGTTGGTGGACCAGGATATTTTGTATGGCTCCTAAGCAATCTCAGTCTTGGTATAACATCAAGAATAGTTGGTTGGTGGGGCTGGGGATTTAGCTCAGCGGCATAAGCACCTGTTTCGTAAGCAGGCGGTCGTGAGTTCGATCCCCGGTACCGGAAAAAAGCAAAAAGCAAAAAAAAAAAAAAAAAAAAAAAAAAAAAAAGAATAGTTGGTTGGAACAGTTAAGTCACCTTGGCTGAAGTGGTACAATTAACAGTAAACATAGCTTCAAATAAGCATAGAAAATTGCAAACTATGGTAAACACTAAGGTGCCACCTTTAACTTTTAAGAGTCGGATTTGTGGTTTTATAAAAAGATATAAAACAAACCAGAAAATGGTATGCAAGAAATAACCCCTCATTATGTAAATTTTACTATCAGAGGAGAAAAGTTAAAATGTGCTAGGGGAAAAAGCAGAGAAACTGAAGAGAAAGAGATTAGAATCAAGGCTAGAGGGCAAAGGGGGGGGACCATGCAAACTTTGGGGAACTTGAGTACAAGATAGGAGGGAAAGATAACAGGAAGAAATAAGAGAAAGTACAGAACAGAGCAACAACTGTAAAAAGACTAAAGAGCACATTCACACTCATATACAAAGGTGAGCAAACAATTAAGAGAAAAATTAAACAGTAAGAAAAGAGAGATTTAAAAAAGTTCACCTAAGGGATTTTCTGCTATCATGGGTAGATAATGTGTGGAGACACAGTCCAGAACTGGGTTGCAGGCACAGTAAGCCTGCAATAGATTTATGGTGAGCCAGTGGAAAATCTCAGCAAGCCTGCACCTTGACATTCCCTGATGTTTAGGCTGGTTTGTGGCCTCGAACCTGGGACCAGAGAGCTACAGCCTGCAGAAATCAGAGACACTCTAAGAGGTTGAATTGAGGGACTGGGGATTTAGCTCAGTGGCATAAGTACCTGCCTTGCAAGTGTGTGGTTCTGAGTTCAATCCCCGGTACAGATAAAAAAAGAAAGACAAAAAAAAAAAAAAAAAAAAAAAAAAGGTTGAATTGAGTTGGAGCTGATAAATTGGAGGCAGGACTTGTTCTGAGTTCCAAGCTAAGCTGGCTGCTGTCCAAGACAGGTCACAGGTAATTACCGTCTCCCGTGGGGCATCCAGTCCCACAGGAGAAGCAGTCACCACCAGTTAGTCCTTCGCCTCTAATGCTTTCTTTCATTGCTGCATGTGGGTGTGGAGGCCTCTGGGGTTCCTGACAGTCCCTGTGTGTCTGCACATTAGTACAGCTCTTTTCACACAATGAGACGCAACACTAGGAGAAAGGGTAGCCCACTACCCGCATCTTCTTTGTTGAAGTTTCTCTGTTGCCTCAAACCATGGTCTTCAAATCTTGCTTCAGATCTTTCCTGGGTCCAGGGGACAACTTCCCTGTTTCATTTCTTCCTGTCATAGGTATCTTCCAGTGTGTGCACAGCGAGACTCAGAGAGGGTCTTTGTCTGCTGCCTACCACTGTGTCCTTTTCCCCTAAATCTAGCTGAAACCTGGCAGCCAGTACTTTAAGGTTCTCAGTTCCATGGTACTGGAGATTCACTGATGAATCTTCATACCAATCCTTACATCTTGATTGTTTTTGTTTGCTTGTTTTAAGGAAATTTTTTGCTCAATTTCCCCAGCACAAATTGAATTGAGATCCTCCTTTCCCAGCCTCCTAGATTCTGGGGTTGGGGATACAACAGGACACTTGGCTGTTGGGCTCTCCTTTTGTATGGATTGGTACTGAGTGCTTGAGAACAGACAGGAGAAAGTGGCAAGTATGGTGATTCAATAGAAATACACAAAAAACACACACAGAAATTTCAGCTTTCTGTGAGCCACACAAAAATGTGGAAAACGAAAATGAGCCAAAGTGAATCACCACAGCATGTATGATGGAGTGTGACAATGTGAAGCAGTTCCGTTTCAACCTGTAATTTACATAGAAAGCGAAAGCATGAATGAGGCTTTGTGGTCCTAGCTTGTTTTATATGTTTTATTTTATTTGAAAAAAGATTAAGATAAATGAGGACATCACACAGGTCAGAACAGAATGATTTAAGGAACATAGTGTGTCACCAACAGATAACCTGACGTAACAGTAGCCACCACAGTGTGTGTTTCCTTGAAATGTTTCAATATACCTTTAAATACTATAGTATCAAACATAATAAGACAGTAGAAAACCCCTCATGAGAATGAAAGTATCACAGGGTATTCATAACCAACTAACAAAAGAGCAACAATGGTTACTGTATTATTTCCTTGTCTATAAAAAATTTTGTTTATACTATCACATATAATAAAATCCAATAAGATACAGCATGGTAAAACCAGGGAAGACAGAAGCACAGAAGCTTGGTAGGATGTCAAAACAAGATGATAGTAAATCAGCACTAGGCGTTATAATGTTTTGTTTTCTTCAGAATAACTGTTGATATCATCACAAACAACAAAATCAAACAACCCAGAATAAAATCATTCCAACTAATAAATGAAAGCATTATAAGGTTTGAAAGGAATGTAATGGGGAATCATGATTACCACATAATTTCATGTATTCTTTGCATTTGTTACCCTAGGGAAACTCTTGTGTATTTTTTCATGTGAGTTTGATTTATGTCACTTATGAGTATTCTGTTAATCTGCGTCCATTTATTTATAAATATCTCAATGTGATCATTCTTTATAGCTGAGTAGTACTCCAGTGTATAAAATTTGTGGTCCCAGCTTTATACTGACTGTGCCACCTCCCGCGTCCTCACTGTGCACCTGGCAGGAGCCTGTCCCTCAGGACAGAGCTCCTGAGTCCCTCGGGCCTGGTGCTGTCCTGTTCTTTGGTGCAGGTCTGAGCTTCTCAAGTCTTCCAAGTCCACGAGTAGAGGGCAGGCAAAGGTGAGGACTGGGAAAATGAACCTGATTTTCCTTCTGTCCCTGTGCTCAGCCCCCAACCCAGTGAGCAGCCTGCGAGTGGAAAGTCAGACCAACAGTTCCATCAGATTGTGCTGGGAGCGGCCCAAGGAGTCAGGCTCCCAGAACCTCACCTACTGTGTGCAGTGGACTGGAGACAGCAACACAATTGAGACCCAGAGGACCACAGACACCTGTGTCACCGTGGAGGAACTGCGTTCTGGGACTTCATATGAGTTTTCTGTGTGGGTGGAAAAAGACCGAGTCAACAGCACCAGGGAGACTCTCAATGCTACTACAGGTGAGGGCAGCAAGGATTTTAGGAGGATGCTATTTAATTTCTGTGCACTTATGAAATTCTTTTCATTTCTTTTGCCATTGCTTTCCAATTTCATCGCACTGTGGTCTGATAATGTATGCACAGGAGAATTTCAATTTCTTTGAATTTGAATAAGCATGTTCTATGTGCTGGTAAGTCGTCTATTTTCTAGAGCATCCTATTTGCAGCTAAGAACAATGCATATTGTAAAGGTTGAGAGGAGATCACTGTGTAGACATCTACGTAGCTCATTTGCTCCAAAGTTGGGTTCTATTCTAATATTTCATTGTTGATTTTCTGTTAGTTTTGTGTGTTTAGGAATGTGGGGTATTGAGGTCCCCCAATACAACTGTATTAGTGCTTAATTGATTTTTCATGTCCTTTAATATTGGTCTCATTTAGCTGAATGCATTGGTGTTTGGTGCATATGTATTTTTGATTGCCCTCTCTCCCTTTTGGATTATTCCGTTTCCCAGCTGTAGTAACCTTCTTTGTCACTTAATCTTGGCTTGAAATCCACTTTGTCTGCAAGTAGAGCAACTACCCTTCTTTTTTCAGGTTCTTGTCACATAGAGGGTTGTTCTCCAGCCTTGACTTTCAGTCTGTGAATTTCCTTAGAGGTCAGTGTGTTTCTTGCATGCAGCATGTTGTTGAATCTTGCTTCTTGATGCATTCTGCCAGTCTGTTTGTTTTGATTGGTGAATTGAGAGCATTCACCTGGATGATTATAAGTGATAGTATGAACTCATCCTTGTCATGTAATTTTCCTGTTTTTTCACTGCCTTGTCTCTCTCAAGTCCTATGTCACTGTTTGCCTCCCTGGTGGATTCATTGTGCTGGGATTGATGGAACTGTCGTCTTTGGTATCTCTTCCTAGAGTGTCCTTCAGAATATTTTAGAGTGCCGGACTGGTGCTCATGAATTTCCTCAGGTGTTCATTCACATAGCAGGGTCTTATTTCTCAATCAGTTCTGAAAGATAGTTTTGTGGAGTACATCACTCTGGGTTGGAGGTTGTTTTCTTGTGGGACTTGAAATGCTTCTCTCCAAGATCTTGACTTGTGTTGAGAAGTCAGCTGTGTTTCTGAATGGCCAATTCTTTATAGATGATTTATTTATTTTCTCTGGTGGGTTTTAGTATTCTGTTCTTGTGATGAATTTCTGGAATCTTAATTATGATGTGCTTGGTTGTAGAATTTTTTGATCATGTTTTATATCCCTTACTTATCTGGGTGTCCGAGTGTTATTTCCCCGTCCGGGAAGTGTTTTGCCTTTCTGTCTGTGAATGGATTTTTGTATCATGCATAGCACCTCCTGCTTTTTCAGTTTCTCCAATCAGTTTTTTTATTCTTTCTTTTTTTCGTTGGTGGGAATTGAACTGATGACCTCAGGTTTGCCGGATGGTTGCTTCTGCCACTGAACTGTATGCCTGGCTTCCCAATCAATTGTTTACATGACCTAGAATCTGCTGGATTGATATCTCATGGTACTGTGCCACATGAAGATTTTCTTATGATCAGTACATGAAGCCTGTCTTTTGTATCTGAGATTCTGTCCTCATGTTGGGATATTCTACTACAGATACTTTCAGTATAAGTTTTACTGTCCTGGATGTAGGCTCAAATTCATTTTATGGATTGTGTTTCTTTCCTATTTGGGGCAGTCCTGATTTGCATCATTTCTAAAAATGTTATGTTTTGTCTGTATCTGCTCTAGAGTTACTCAGCATATTTTTCACCATGGTCACCATCTCTGTAGTTATGTGAGAACTTATTTCTGAGTTGACTTTTTCTAGAACTTCATTCATTTGCTTTGTTTTATGACTTCCGAGAGCCTGGGAGTGGGGGGGGGTTGGATTTCAGGTCGTCCCCCCTCTTTGTCCCCTGGGTTTGTCTTTGGTGCACTGGATGACTGGGATTGCATTTTCTTTACGCATTTTCTCATGTTCTGTTTTCTTCTTTCTTAAGAGTCAGAAAATGTATTGGGGAATTAGAATTGGAATAGGAAGAGCTCCTGAGAGCCAGGAGGAGGGGTCCTGAATGGTTTGTGCCTCATTTTCTTAGTTTTTCAATTGAATTACTAGGTTGAAGTTTTTCAATTGCATATTGGGTACAGTTTTATTGGTTGTATGTAGAACCCTTAGAAAATGACTTTGTCAGGGACATCATCCAGGTGGAGCTGGCTCTTAGATTGTGAGTGTTTCAAGATCCAACACTTCAATTTATTGGGGATAAGAAATTGCTGCCTGCTTGGTCCAGCACTTGGTTCTTTGTTACTGGCCCACAGTGTTTTGTATGGCCCTTAGGCAACCTCAGTCCTGCTTTACACCTGGAAGAACAGTTGGTTGGAACAGTTATGTCACTTTGGCTGAAGTGGTACAATTAGCAGTAACTGTAGCATGAAACAAGCACAGAAAACTGCAAACTGAGGTAATCACTAATGTGCCACCTTTAGCTTTTTTTTTTTTTTTTTTTTTTTTAATTTAAGAGGAAAAAGAGAAAAACACAAAACAAACCAAAGCGGCGTAAGGGTACACGCAATACAGAACTACAAAACAAAACAAAACAAAACAAAAAAACATAACAGTAAGAAATTACCTGCTAGTAGATTACACACTATCTTCTTGAAAATAGTTCCTCAAATCACAGTATCAAAGAACACAAGGTGGACATTCAAACAGGGAGACTGCAAACAGCTGTGTTCAATGTTCCAAAAACATTGATAAAGTCAGCTATTTAACACCCCCAAACACACTTGCTGTTATATCCGTTAGAGCTCTTTTTCTTTTTTTTTTTTCCCTCTCTTTTTTACAACAAAATTTACACATCTTGGATTTTATTACTCCTTAGTGCTTATTACTTTCTTTGGGGGGGGGGAAGAATACAGTCAAATATGGCAAAACAAAGCTGTCAGTCAATACCAAGAATAGACATAGCACATGGTGTAGAACAGAGTACAAGTTTATCAACAATGGTTATCAACGTTGTCCCTTGTTTCCTTAAAAAGAATTGTCTATCTTATTAGATATTATAAAGTTGGACAAAACAGTAGAGAACAAGACCAATAAAACTTAGGCATTGTAAACATTACAGGACTTCCAAAGAAGACAATAGTCAAACCAGAATGGGTATCTTAGTGAATCTTATTGTCTTCAAAGTAGTTGCCTATGTCTTCAAACTTGATACTATCATATAGAATGGAACAGAGTCTAATCAGTCAAAACAAGATCGTGGGAGTACTATAGGACTTCAAAACAAGTTAATAGGAAATCGAAAAGAGTTACTATTTATATATCCTAATTTTTTTTGAATTTTTTTCTTTAATTAAGACAAACATAAGAAATGACTAAATAATTTTTTTTGAAACAATAAGGGGGAGATTGAGATAAAACAGGACATAACAATATAATAATAGAGGTCACAGCATGACTGTTTCAACAACCTAGTACTTCACCACCTTATAACCTGATTTAATAGTAGTTACCATAGTGTCATTTTCCTTGAAATATTTGGATAAAACTTCATATACTCTAGCTTCAAATATTTTCATATCAAGAAGCCCAGAATAAAGCCTTTCTAATTAATGAGTGAAAACTTTATAAGGCTTCAAGGCCACCTAATGGGGAATCATGATTACCACATACTTTTATATATTTGAATCATTATTTACATTAGGGAAACTATTCGGTATTCACACATGCGAGATTGATTTATTTCACTAATGAGTATGGTCTCAAGCTGCGCCCATTTATTGATAAATATCTCAATGTGATCCTTCTTTATAGCTGAATAATACTCCATTGTATAGAAATACCACAACTTTTTTATCCATTCCTCAGTTGATGGGCACTTGGGTTGTTTCCAAGATCTGGCGATTACAAATTGTGCTGCTATAAACATAGGTGCACATATATCACTGTGGTATGATGCTTTCAGTTCTTCTGGGAATATGCCTAGAAGTGGAATAGCTGGAATAAATGGGATTTCCAGTCCCAACTTTTTGAGAAATCTCCAGACAGATCTCCACAAAGGCTGTACCAGTCTACACTCCCACCAGCAGTGCAGGAGAGTTCCTTTTTCCCCACAGCCTCTCCAGCATTTGTTGTCGGTTTTCTTGATCCTGGCCATTCTTTCAGGAGTGAGATGGTATCTCAGTGTGGTTTTAATTTGCATTTCTCTAATGACCAATGATGATGAGCATTTTTTCATGTATTTATTTGCCATTTGCATTTCTTCATCTGAGAATTGCATATTCATCTCAGATGCCCATTTTTGGATTGGATCTTTGAATTTCGGAGGTCTGAGTTTCTTTAATTCTTTATATGTTTTAGACAAGAGGCCCTTGTCTGAGAGAGAGTTCACTAAAATCTTTTCCCAGTTTGTGGGTTTTCTTTTCACTATGCTGGAGATTTCTTTTGACATGCAGAAACTTTTTAATAAGAAGTGGTCCCAGTTATTGATTCTGGGAAGTATTTCCCGTGCGGTTTGAGTCCTGTTCATGAATTCTTTACCTACTCCTATGTCTCCAAGGTTTCTACCTATTTTGTCTTCCAATAGATTTAGTGTTTCTGTTTTAATATTCAGATCTTTGACCCATTTAGATTTTAATTTAGTACATGGTGATAGACATGGGTCTAGCTTTAGTTTTCGGCAAATGGAGAGCCAGTTTTTCCAGCACCATTTATTAAAGAGACTGTCGTTCTTCCAGTGAACCTGCTTGGCTCCTTTATCAAAAATAAGGTGGTTGAGTGTGTTCGTAGTTGTGGTTGTATCTTCTAATCTATTCCACTGATCTTCAGCTCTGTTTTGATTCCAATACCATGTTGATTTTACTACTGTTGCTTTGTAGTATAACTTCAAGTCAGGGATTGTGATGCCTCCTGCTTTGTCTTTGCTGCTTAGAATTGCCTTTGCGATTCTAGGTCTCTTCTGGTTCCAGATGAAATTTAGGAGTGATTTCTCTAGATCTATAAGGTATGTTGAT